CTCCTCATATTGTGAATAATTAATGAGGCTATTCTTTGGGTTCAAGTGGAATGCCCTAGGGTATATTATCTGTCTCGACTCTTCAATATGATAGCACGATTTCTCTTTAGCAGTTATCTTTTCTTTATCAGATTCCATTCCCTGAATAATTTGATCTGATTCATCTGGTACTGAATCTGACGCTTCTTTCCTTGTATCCCGAGGTAACCCTGTCAATTGTTCTGGCCACTGGTCTTGTAGTCCCTCATAAGATTGCTCCATTGTTTTTATGATGTTGGTAAAGTAAAATGAATGACCTTGTTTTTATTGTTACAAAACCTTTCATTAATTACTTACATGTTTTTATATTTAATGTATATAACAATACTAAAAAAATGTAATGTAAATACGAAAATGCATAAATGCAAAAATAAAAATGCAAACTGTGTAATGCAAAGATGTAAAAAGTAAGAATACAAGATGGAAATGCAAAGATGTAAAAAGTAAATGCATGTATGAAAAGGTGTTACTTAAGAGTGATCATCTTAGAACAGATTTCATTGAACACAAAAGCTTCAGTACATCAAACAAAACTTTTACATGTAGGGGACAACTTTCAGTCCTAACTTCAACAAAACTTTACATATAGGGAATAACTTTCCCATTTTCTTCTCTAAAACCAAGTTAGTTTATCAGCTTATGGGCCATATTGCTTATCTGGACTGCAGCTTCTTCCATGACATTCTGGTGTTCTTTCATCTCCTATGTCAATTCTTGGAGTTGATCATTTTCCTTTGTGAGAGAACATTTGTGTTCAAAAAGTTTTTGGACAAGATCTTCATGTATGTTGCTACTCTTTTTCAGTTTGGTGACCCCTGCTATCCACTCTTCTGGGGTGTTTCCTATACCAGCATTTTGAAAGGCTTGACTGACCTTCTGGAAGTCTTCATGTATGGTTTCCATTTTTGTGCTCGATTTATCGTTTTCAATCTTCAAATGACGTATTTGAGCTTCAAACCTCAGCAAATCTTCTTCTCTCTGGGCGCCCCTACTGATATTCTTACCTTTGAAGACTTTTGGTATTAATCTATCAGGACCCTCGGTTACCAAACTAGGTAGATCATTTACCATAAATTGTAAGGTTCCATGGTCCAAAAGACTTTGGACTCGGCGTTTGAAGGCAAGACAATTCTCGATGGTATGTCCTTGAGCTCCGGCATGATATTCACAATGAACGTTGATGTCATACCAAGTTGGATACGGAGGTTGGAACGGTTTTATATAATATGGATCCACTTCTCGTGCTTCAAGTAGCTTCTCATACAACTCTTTATATGATATGGGGATAGTATCAATATGAGAACCACCTTTTGTCTTGGATTGAACCTGAGTTTTAGACATCGGGAGCAGACCAAACTTCAACGATTTCAAATTGAATGATTTCTTCTCATCTCTGGGAGCTTTTACAGTTGTCATCATTTCATTGGTATCTCCAGATGATTTGTGAATACGAATGATGACTGTCTGTAATTTCTCAAATTGGTTAAGAATCGAAGTCCCTTGCGTATCTGAAACTGCAGAGTTAGGTTCATTGAGCTCTCTCTCTTTCTGTGCTGGAGTCTCTTTTCCTTTGGCCAAAATAGATATTCTATCCATCATCTTGATCATCTGCTCTCTTATTTCTCGTATCTCCTTTTTCTCTTCAATGGTCATACGATCTTTGGGTGCATAACTTGCTTCTATCCTCAGAGTTTGCTCAGGATGTCTTTCTTTGGCCGCATCATATTTTGTTTGATCATAAAACTTTTTGTCCATTTACAATTTCTTTCCAATATGATGAACAGTCTTTCAAGTAAACACCTTTTGGTTATGCTATGATCATGCAATGCAAACAAAAGAAATGAGAAAAAATAAAATAGTTAGTACCAACTAATGAAAAAAATCTATCTATCAAGGTATAAATCTTAACCTCATGCTTTCTAGTTCCATGCTTTGTTTGGAAAATTTAACCTAACCGCATGATTTTTAGTTCGCGGGCATTTATTCAAAAAAAAATAATAAATTAAAAAATTAAAAGCTAAAGCTTATTTCTCCTTTGTGTACACCTAAGGACAGAGGTTCAGTATTGTCTTAGATCAGGAGAAGTTCTAAGATTTATTACATGTAGGGTTTTAGTTCTAGGAGTAAAGGTACTCGAATTGTCCTTGTTAGTGCCCCCTTGGGCTGTCAACCCTCAATCCTAGTCCATTACAGATTTAAGTGGATTGAGTTCAATTCGAGGGGATACATTTCTCTATACCTGACACGGAGAATAAATTCTCACGAAGACATAGAGCATATGAACCCCGAAAGTTACTTGCTAGGTCTGACACGGAGAATAAATTCTCACGAAGACGTCACTTTCACTCCCACTTAAAAGGGACAAACTCAATTATATAGCTTTATGTTTATGCAATGCAAGTGTTGTGTATGAGGAGAAATGTTCAAACCTTTGACAGAAAAATAAATAATGAAATAAAATACTTGCAAATAAAATAAAACATATAAATATTATGAAAATAATAAATAAATATAAAAATTTTGAAAAGAAAGAATTAAAAATTAAATATATGAACTTTTAATTTTTAATTAATAGAGACAATTTATAATTGATTTTAAAGTTTGACATCATTCCCAGTGGAGTCGCCAAGCTGTCGTAACCGGTTTTCGTCCGGGCACGAAATATTTATTTGGCGGGAAAATTTATGTGAATAAATGGTTTTGAAAATAATTTGGGAGTCGCCATCGGCCTTTTGGGTCAGGTAGGTCGAATACCTAAAAATTATCTTTTAAAAGAGTTTTTAAGAAAACATCAGTTAAAAGATAAACTGATCTGCTTTTTAACCGAAGATTCATTCTTTTTAATAATAAAAAGGGATTCGTGGTCGATTACGTTTGGGGAAGGATTAGCACCCCCACAACGCCCAAAATTGGTACTTATTAATTATAAATTGTCTCTTATTATTGGAAATTTAAAAATTCAAAAATATATTTAATTTATAATCATATTATTTCAAAGTTATAATTATATAAAAAATATATTTATATATAAAATATAAATAAAATATTTATTTATTTAGAAATATCAGAAAAGGACTTCTAGGTGCCTTAAGACAGTTCTTTTCTTTGACATTGAAAAATAAATAACTAAAAATGTAAAAATTTAAAAGTAAAATAATTTAAGAAAAAATTATAATATTTAATTATTTAAAATAACAGAATAGGACATCCAGTTATATCAAGACTGTCTTTTTCTTCGATATTGAAAAATATTAAAATAATTTATTGAAAAAAAAATATAAATTATTATTTATTATATATATTTATGACTATATAATAATAATAAAAATATTTAAATATATAAACAAGTAAGATTAAAACAATAAAAATACAATTAGAACGATATATTTAAAAGCAATAAAATAAATGAAAACATTTAAAATTAGTGACTAAATTATAGTAAAATTAAAATTAAAAAACCTAATTCATAATTAATCCTAATTATAGGGATTAAACATGCTATTTTCTTATTTTATTAATTTAGTGACTAAAATAAAATTATATATAAATTGAATATCAGATTAAAATAAATTAAAAATATAAACTCAGGATTAAAATATTATTTATTAAAATTAAGGGACTAAATATATTATTTATCCTAAATATTTAAACATACAGGCTAGGACTAAAATGAAATAAAATAAAATTACGAGACTAAATTAAAACGTATAAGAATTGATTTCAGTGACAAAAATAGAAATTTACAAATCTAGGATGACTACGCGAGAGGTTTGACCCGTGCGCGAAATTACAGATATACCCCTGCCCAAAACGGCGTCGTTTGGGAGGGGTATATAAGACCAAATGGCTGGCCCGTAGGGCCAGCATCCCTCATTTCCTCTCTTCTTCGTCTCTCTCTAACCGAGAGAGTTTATAAAACTCTCTCGCCTCTCTCTAACTGAGAGAATTCCGGCAGTCGCCGGACACCGTACTCTGGTGTCGGTCTCCACCGTCGGCCACCGTTAATGGTGGCCGGAAAATTACATATATACCTTAAATCGAAGCCCTGCTTTCCCTAAAGCCCAATATGAGGGTATTTTAACCTAGATCATTACCAAAATATGTAGATCTAAGGTTCTTTACCTTCAACCTTTCGGTTTCAAAGACGTAGGGAGGCTCTGATGACGACAGTTCCCTTGGTAAGTCTCTTTTCCTCTTCTCCTTCTTTATTTGGTTGCTGTTGATTTACTCTTATGTCTGTAGTTCTTGCTCTGGTTGTTCATATATCTTTCTCTGTCTCTTTTTTCTTTTCTTTTTTTGTTTTCTGTCTTCTGTCTCCCCTTTTTTTCTCCTTTTTTCTCTTTTTTTTCTTGCAGGGGACGGTGGCTTTTATAGCCACCACCGGTGATGGCTTCAGACCGGTCAAAAGGATAAAAGGCCCGGTGAGTCACCATAGCTATGGTGGTGACTCACCATAGGGCTCGACGTGGGTTGCTTCATGACGTTCTGGAGTGTCGGCAGCAGCTGTTGGACCACCTGGAATCATCAGAGGCGGCTGGAAGCATCTGGAAATGGCTGGCTGTTAGGGTTAGAAACCCTAGGGTTTTCAATCTGGAACCCTTTTGGGCCGTTGGATCTTGCCAGATCCAACGGCTGATGATGTTGACGACTGCTGGCTGAGAAGAATGAAACCCTAATTGGTTTAGGATTTCTGTTAGGCCATTTCTGATTGGAATTGTAAACGGGCTTCGGGTTTTGGGCTTGTAAAATGGGCCTTCGGGTCCTTTGGGCTTGTAATATATATATATATATATTAATAATAATAATAATTAGTAATAATAAATTTAATAATAATAATAAAATTTAAATGAAAAAAATGATGTCTACAATATTAATAAATTTTAATTAACACAAACAATAATCTCAAGCCACCAGGAACTCAAACATTAGGGTACAGGATCAACAACCATCTCCAGCTCTTCATCAAGCTATAGGAGACGATTTAGCCGCAAAGTGGGTTAGAGCACGGCGATGGTAACTAGTTCGGAGCTTCTTGTACTTCTGCATGAAAGTCCCTATATCTATCTCCTTCTCAAGGAGCTGCCTGTGCACTGCATCTGATTCCTTGTCCGTCTTGTTCGTCGCATCTACAGAGAGGGAACCACAATAATTTTACTCTATTATCAATGATTCTGAGCCTAAGCCTTAGGAGTATATTATCCATATTGTTTACCTTGAAGCCTGTTGATAAATGATGCAGGGGGGTAGAACTTCAGGATTTCTTCTTTCTGCCTCTCGAGATCGTTTAGTTTCTCCAGGGCTGCTGCGAGTTCTGTTGTACGGATAATTCCACACTGTTTTCATAAAGGGAACTAAGAGTTTTACAATTGATATTCTAATAACATTATCAATGGCAAAAATGAATAAGATGTTCTGAACATATCACTTGATTTCTTAGCTCCACTATTTGTGGTTCTTTATCCAAATTGTTCCCTGTGTATTAAGATAACAAAAATTAGCATTCATCGGCTGAAGCAGAAGTTTATGGCACTACAATGATTACCATAGATTGATAGAACTCACTAGCAAGCTGCAAAGTCTCCTTCCGAAGTTCATCTCTTATCTGTGGTAAAAGTTATGACGATGGAGTAGGAAGTTAAAGATATGACGAAATACGTGGTAATGAAGAACAACATTTTCTCAATGCATGCTCATACAGGTCGGTCCAATAGAGTTCGTCCACAATAAATAACTAAAAGAGCAACCACATCATGATACCAACAAGGTACTAGAAGAGTATGCACAACTAAAATGAAAATTGAACTGAGAAAGGTGTCTGGTTAGCAATGAGTTGTGCTTATACTTGAAGAAGCTCGCCCAAATGGAAGAAACAAGGGTTCACCAACAGAAATTGACAGGCTATCCACCATGGGGTCATCCTAGTTAATTGTGAAAATAATACCATCTCCGAAGACCAACAAAACATGAGGACATCATTGAATTGGTGTTTAGAGTTGAGATTTCAAAGTCCTTTAGGAGGTCTTTAGTCTCTGACTCTCCGCATGACAGCATACGCAGATCTTTGAGACCAGAGGAGAAATCCACAAATAAAACAAGAAAAGGTGCCCAAAAAAATGCACAGATTATTTGAAAACATTAAATGAAATAAGATAGGGCAAATTTTACTACTCGCATTGTTTTGAATTTTAACCTGGTCAACAGATAGCAGGAACTGATTGTATACAGCCTTGTCAGACAAAAGCTTCCGTAATTCATCAACACTAGGAAACAAGAAAGTCACCAGGAGTTGCAAGATGCATTCTTAAGAAAAACAAGCAGTTTTCCTTGAGTAACTTCAAAACATTTAAGAAGTCACAAATGAAAATAATGGAAACAGGAAAATGAAAAAAATGAATAACAGAGCATAATAGATCATTAGTAAAGCACAAAATTATTAAGAAGGAATTATATTCTTATTTCCTTTCATAAAAGGAAATGAAGATTTCCTTGCCAATAGCAAGGTGGAAGGTGGAATGCAAGAAGCAGACATTTCACCTTTTGTCCCTCAAATGAGCAATGATTCTTGCAGCTTCAGAAGGTGAAATTTGTGAGGGAGAATGTGGCCTTTCTGCAGGTTTCTGTATGTTGAAGCTGCTAGAAGCACTGGTACTCGGTGTCGAAGGCCGGGAAGAATTAGGGGAGCTAACACCAGGAGGAGGATACCTAGAATGTGAAGAACCCTCTAGTGGGCGTGGATGAGCTTGTTGTTCCTGTGAATCCCTGCAACATGATCAAAATTTTAGTGAAACCAAATACACATGTCACAAAGTATGCCGATGGAAAAAAATAACTCCAACTGAAGTTAGAAAGATCACAATCAACTTTTAAATTTTGATCAATAACACACACATGTTCACAACGCAACTTAAGTACGCCTTCACAACATTTAAAACTGATATAACTTCTCGACCATTTTAAAGAGCTAAGCCCATTGAAATCCAACATAAGGTAATAGCACCAAAAACAAATGAAGCATGTCTACACTTTAGACTTGCCCTAAAATGATAAGCAATTAAGAGAGCCCATCCTCAAATCCAACTTCATAAAAATAGATATTAGAGACTAAAGTCCCACATAATGATTAGTCAAAACTGCTAATGCAAGTTTAATTTCTGCCATGTGATCGGAGCGCCTCTTATTTATTCTATTTTAAATAACAACAAAATGGAAGAAGAACGGGAATTCTTGGCTTAGCTGCAATTTCTCATCCAACTAAAGCATGTTTCTAATACTATAAAATACAAGAACCTTATTTCTCTTCAGCATAAATTTTAGACTCTTTGATGATCATACAGCCTCTTATTACGCCCAAAAGGAAGTAAATGGTGATTCTAAAAAGCCAAAATACATCAATATCCAAGAAAAAGACACTAATAGACCAAAAAAAAGTTTAAAAGAACCCTAAATGAAGCAAACCCATAATTATATTAATGCAAAGAAACTCTGAACAAAGTTTGGACAATTTCACAGTTCCAAGTGAAATTAATAAATATTCGCAGGCAATTAGGAGGGGGGAAACCCTCAAAACTAGACTGAATCGAAATTCAAAACATTAAAAAGAATAAAAAAGCGAATAAATAGAATCCGATTACACAAATAAAACAAAAGAGATTAGAAAGGTAACAACAGAAAACGTACCAGAACCTGAACATAGCTCGCTGGCGGTAGGCTTTTTGATTGTGGGATAATCGACTATGAACCCAAAGGATCGGAACCCAAAAATAATAACCTTAATTGATCAAGTCGAAGACGAAGAAAATGTTAATTGTTCCTTCGGATTTTTGTTTAAGAGATGCAGGTTGCGGGGGATCCATATTCATTTCGAGTTTTTTTTATAAATATTTTGGTTTAACTACTGAGATGATTTTATTCCATTTTTGATCATTCGTTTTTGTACAATTATGTTTCAGTTACTTATGTTATCAATTTATTAAATATTAATCATTCAATTTAATATATTCATTCATATTTATACATTTAATTTACTCCATCAAGTTTATTACTGTAATAATTTGCCAATTGTAAACAAAATAATGCTTATTTTAACAAATCTTATTACTAGAATAATCCGTATATATATATATATATATAAAAGGATTAAATTTCCCAATGCCTGGAGCCTTAGACTTTATATGTCTAACTGTCATTGGATTCCCAAATAGTCCATGTGCTTGCTTGTATGCGGTGAGCTCTTTCATAATCTTAACTTGCTTGTCAAGTGCAAGGTTTAACCTTAGGATACATTCATACTAGCCATTTATCATTTCTTCACATTGCTTAAGTTGAGGATTATCATAGAAATATTCAGGATTAAGAAAATGGCTAGTAGCATGTAAAGGATGATGTAGTTGACATTCTCATCTTGTAGACACCGTCTTTGTCCGGGTCTTTTTTTTATTTTAAATTATTATTATTATTATTATTATTATTATTATTATTATTATTATTATTAACATTACATTTATATTTTGTGCAGGCCCAACATACAACCCGAGGCCCAATACTCTACCCAGCCCAGTTACATCTCCAACAGCCCAATCCAGCTGCTAATCCAGACCCGAATCATACCCAGAACCGACTCGAAATGTAGGGTTTTAAACCCTAAACAACATCAGCCAACTGCCACCGATTGGTATTCCAACGCTCCAGCTACCACCGAGCCACCAAGTCGGCCTGTAAAAGTCCATCCACCAGTGACCCGCATCCATCGAATAGTGACATGTTTCCTGCAAATCAAAGAAAACCCAATAAACAATAGAAACAAAATCAAAATGGTGTCCCGATGATATCTACCATGACAAAGCAAAATAGGGGCACTCATACCCTATGTTTCGGGAATCAAAGTAACAAATCAACAGTCACCAATCATGCATCAAAATAAAAACAGAAGATAGAGGGAACAATGAGGCCATTCAGAGATTTCCAGAAAAGATGGGGGGTTCGAAAAACCAAAGAAAAACCAGAGGAAGCATTTGAACAAAAAAAGAAAATATAGAGGTGAGAGGTTGAGATTTTACCTTTCCTGGGTCTTCATCGGAGTCACTAACTGGTGGGTCTCAATTGGGGTTGTTTCGTGGCCCAGGGAGGTGGTTGTAGGGCTCTTCGAGCCTTACGAGGCTCGATTGAACCATGGGTAACAGAGGGTAAGGAGAACTGGGGTCTTTGTCTGCTCCCTATGGCTTCCGTAGAACGGTGGCCAGGGAGCCCCTGGGTGCTCTGTTCTTCTCGGAGGCGAGGAGGCAAAAAGGATGGAGAAGGAAAGTAGAGAGAAATGAGTTTGAGCGGCTGGAGAAAAGAGAGGAAGTGAAATAGGGTTTGAATGAAACCCTTAAAAAGGGTTTATATTTCAGCAACCAAACAATGTCGTTTCAAGGGGAGGGTATGTGTGTTTCAGCATAAAAGGATAAATAACCCGTTTAGTCCTCGTATCTTTGTAACATTCTTCCCGTGTTTTTTAATTTTTGGGTAAATCACTTTAAGTCCTCTGTATCTGTACTGTTTACTTTTCAGTCTTAATGAAATCTTACTTTTCATTTTGAGCTCTATATTTGTTTTATATTTCATTTTAGTCATCTTTGTTTTATTATATTTGTTTAGCTTTTTTGGTTACTAATTTTATATTAGTTCTATTTTAGTTATCAAATGGAATTTTTGCTTAATTTATTTTAAGTTTTGAACTCTGTTATAGTTACATTTTGGTCACTGTTTGTATTTTGGGTTAAATTTTGAATTATGCCTGTGTATTTTATTTTCATTGCATTTTAGTCCCTATTTTTAGTTATGAGTTTATTTTATTTCCAGTGCTTGTATTATTTGGCATTTATGATTTGAATTCTGTTTTGTTGTATTTACTTTTTAGCCTTTTAACTTTTTGTTTTCTATTATTTTAATCCCTTAGGTTTATGTTTTTTTGCTATTTAGGCTCTTTAAATTTCTGTTTTCTTGCCATTTTAGTCCTCTAATTTCTATTATGTTGTTTTAAGCCCTTGAAGTTATTATTATTATCATGGTGGTCCTTGTGATTAAATATTTATTTTTGATCATTTTGTAATACCCAAAAATTCTAACAATGACCAAAATGAAAATTTGGAAAGTTTGATGGTTAAAGTAGAAAATTGGGAAAAAGTTTGAGGAAATTAAGTGATAAATTTCTTGAAAAGAATTATATTCCATAAAAAGATAGTTTACTCCTGAGAGTGGGGTTTTATAGAAATTATATTTTTGGATTTGGAATTTTAGTAAAGAAAAATTAGAAAGGGTTAAGCCGGTAAGGAATCGGTAATTTCAGATCGAATTGGAATTTTACAAAAATTTAAAGGATGTTATAAAATGCTAGGAAATATTATTTTAATATTTTGGATAAAATAAATTGGGTTTGGAATTGTGCAATTTTTCATATTTAACCGAAACAGTGGAATTTAGTGACTAAAACGCAATTTTTGAAAATTCAAGGGGAATTTCGGAATTAAAAGTCAAAATAATTCATGTTTGACTTTGTAATATGATAATGATCAGATGGCTTGGTTTTATGGTGAATATGGAGATTCATTAAGGGCAAAAATGGAATTTCCTATTGGAATGAATAAAAAATGCTATAATAATATATATATTGCCATGTGATAGATTGATTTATCATAAAATATCAATCATGAAGAGCATTTCCAGCTTCTTCTTCCTCCAAGGGCCGGCACTTTCAAGAAAGAAAGGTAAACATCTTTAGTTTTAATTTTGAAGCTATTTCTTGAGAATTAGAATCGGAGTGGTTAGGAAAAATGCTCTACGTTCAATTCTCTACATTTTGACATGAATATTACTAGGGTTTCATGTTCAAATTCATCTTGAGTTGATGAAGGGGATTTTGATTCTTTTTTTTATGGGTTTTGAAGAGCTAAGTGATTTTAAAGAATTGATTGTAAGATTGATGAAGAACTTAAGGATGATGTTTAAGAAAACAGTTTAGATTTTGAGATTGACAGTGGGTTTGAAAATTCACCAGAATTTATATAAAAATAATTTGGAGGTTATTTTTATATATTGTGTTCATGTGTCGATCTAGTTTTGTTTAAAACAAACAAGGATCAATTTCAAAGTGTGTACAAAAAGATATGAATTTTTAACCAAGGAAAGGTCAGAAAAATCGGACAGCAGATTCTGCAAAACAGATTCATTTGGTCAACTTTGAAAATTCATCATAAATTGTACAGAATGAATTAGAAGGAGTTCTTTATATTGATAGATTTGTATTTGAGTCTAATTTTTAACGGAATAAACATAATTGACTTACAGTGTGTATATCAGTACAGAATATTGATTCTTTAAAGGTAGTGCAAGTTGTCAGAATATGTAAATTTTAGAAAGTTTGGTGATTGTAATACAAATTTCGAATTGTTGGGAGTGTTATTGTAATTATGCCTTTGTGTACTTGGTTGATAATAATTTCAATACTGGAATTTTTGTATTGAAATTCTATGTGATAAAATGGTGAAGGACCATTTTGTGTAAATTGGAAAAGTTGGTTCCAATGTTAAAAGGAAATTCTTAAGTATTAAGTATTTTGATAGATAATGAGTATCAAATATATTATGGAGTTATTTTGGGATATGTTTATGTTAGTACAATACTAACATATGTATCGTTATGAAATTGTGAATTATACAGATTATGATTGATTTGCGATTGAAGCAAGTCAAGTGGGTTTATTGTGGACAGTAGTGAGGCACAAATATTTGGAAAATTATAAAGTGTCAAGGTGAGTGCAATACATGCATGAAATTATATATTGATGTTTTATACATCATCGGGAAGACTTGCGATAAGTTGACATTGTTTATAACAACATGTTATTATGTCATTTTTATAAATTGACATGACATTGAGATGTCATTGGATGAAATTATAATGCTTTGATTTTGGGAAATATGATATTTTACCATGAATGTTTTTGGGTATGAACTGCCCCATTGTTAAATTATGATAATATACTTTGCCATGGATGGATTAAATAAAATTGATTATATGCCCAAATACGTTATTGAGGATCAGTGGTATTAATGGCATGTCATAGAGTCTAGCAGCTGTAATATTAGGTAGCACTAGAGTGTCTAGAGAAGGCACATAGTGCAGGCCTTAGTGTCTAGTGAAGACACAGTACGAACACTAAGGTGTACTATGTGGGTAAATCCCGACCTCAGCACTTCGGTGCAATATTTGACTCTTATACCGGGTTCCTTATACAGTTATACTATAGGCTATGAGTTATGGTTTATTAGTTAATAAATGGTAAGTATGCAAATAAGCTTACGAGCTTATGAATAATGGCAAGTATATTGATAAAATAAGCTTACGAGCTTATGGAATTTAAATGGTAAATATTTTTAGTAAAATAAGCTTACGAGCTTATGGGATAAATGGTAAGAGATTTTATATTATTTTGATCATGGTAAAATATTGGATATGTTAGTAAAATGATTTTATGGAAATTTGATATTTGACATTGAAAATCATGCAAGAATTGTATTGCAATGTTAAATGTTTTAATTGCCTCACTAAATTTATACTTAGCGTGTGATGATTTTCACGCGTAGATAAAAAAAACAAAGAATAAGAATAAAGAGTTCAGAACGACATCAAGCATCGAGAGGTATATTTCAACATCAATAAGACATCC